AGTCGTACAAGGATCATGTCAAGCAGGTCCGGGCGGTCTTACAACGTCTCATCAGCCACCAGCTATATGCCAAAGCCGAGAAGTGAGAGTTTAATCAGGAGACAGTATCATTCCTCGGATACGTGATCAGCTCAGGAGGGGTGGCCATGGACGACAAGAAGGTACGAGCCGTTGTCGACTGGCCTCTACCTACCACCTTAAAAGAACTACAACGCTTTCTAGGATTTGCCAACTTCTATCGGAGATTCATTCGTATCTTCAGCACAGTGGCAGCCCCCATGACTTCTATGACCAAGAAGGGTAGTCAGCGCCTCGAATGGTCCTTAGCAGCCCGTTCAGCCTTTTAGATGCTCAAGGAGAGATTTACAACTGCACCCATCTTGTACCATCCCGACCCAGAACGAGAGTTCATTGTGGAGGTGGACGCATCCAGCACGGGCATTGGGGCAGTTCTCTCTCAACGACATGGTAACCCGCCTAAGTTATACCCCTGCGCCTTTTATTCCCGCAAACTCAATTCCACCGAGCAGAATTACGATGTGGGCAACCGAGAACTTCTTGCCATGAAGGTCGCCTTTGAGGAGTGGCATCACTGGCTCGAGGGAGCCAAACACCCCTTTATTGTACTCACCAATCACCGCAATCTGGAATATCTGAAATCAGCTAAAAGACTCAATCATAGACAGGCAAGATGGTCTCTGTTCTTCACCAGATTCAACTTCCCAATAACCTACCGTCCAGGCTCTCAAAACACGAAGGTGGATGCCCTATCTCGACTCTATGAATCAGCCACAATGTCTCCCAGTCAGGAATCTATCATTTCGTCTACCATCATTCTCGCACCCGTTCAATGGGACATAATGACTGAGATCACAGACGCCTAGGGCACCGAACCACCTCCAGCCGAAACCCCACCTAATCTCACATACGTGCCGCAAACTATACGACAAAGAGTCATCCAGCTAGTTCACTCAACTCCCGGCTCCGGACGCCCAGGTATAGCAGCTACTCTTCAGTTATTAAATAATCGCTTCTGGTGGCCCACGCTGCAAGCAGAGACAATTGCCTTCATCCGAGACTTTGCAACCTGCAGCATAACCAAATCCTCACATCAACTACCTGCTGGCCTCTTACAACCATTACCTATCCCACAACGCCCCTGGTCTCACATAGCCATCGACTTCATAACCGATCTGCCTGCCTCACAGGGTCACACTACCATTCTCACTGTTATCGATCGCTTTTCCAAGGCCTGCCGCCTGATTCCTCTACCCAAACTACGTCCGGGGAACCATCAGAACTTCCAGCCGTGAATTCATGGCTACAACGAAGCGACGAGACGTGGAATGAGGCTCATGTTCATCTCCAGAGAGCTGTCCATCGGACAAGGGAACAAGCTAATCGCCATCGGTGCACCAATCCCAACTATCAGCCGGGTCAGTGGGTCTGGTTGTCCACTCGGGATCTTCGTCTCCAGTTACCCTGGAAGACGCTCAGTCATAGGTACGTGGGTCCATTCAAAATCCTCAGACAAATAACTCCTGTTTCATTCCGTTTAGCTTTGCCTGCCCATTATCGTATCTCACCCACTTTTCATGTCTCTTTGCTCAAGTCCGCTGGTGGTACGAGAGGAACGGAGGACCAGGAGGAGGCCGGTGACCAGAGAGTCCCTCCCATCACCATAGACGGCGAGGAGGCGTACCGAGTTTGGGAGATCCTGGACTCTCGTCGCCGGGGCAGAATTATCCAGTACCTAGTGGACTGGGAGGGGTACGGTCCGGAGGAACGGTCCTGGGTCAATGCAGAGGATATTTTGGATCCCTCGCTTACCACAGACTTTCACAGAGACCACCTGGATAGACCTGCCCCGAGACCCCGCGGAAGACCCCGGCGTCGTCCGCCTCTGCTCGTCAGGAGCCGCTCACAGGGGGGGGCTCTGTCACAAATTCAGCCTCTGTGGCTCCCCCCGATCACCACCAGAGGGAACCATCACCGGAGTACTGAGCGATCCCTTCGGACTCCAGTTCCCACAATGCCCTATGCCAGAATCTAATCACCTGCACAGGTGTTTCCTATTTGCCTGGTCTACTTAAACTGTGCCTTCCCTGCTCTCATTGCGAAGTCTTGTTTTGCCTTGCAGACATTTCTGAGCATTTACCCTGTGTTGTATACCTGTTGATTACCTGGACTGTTTACCCGTTTACGATTGCTTGCTGCCTACCTATTCTGACCCTGCATGCCTTGTTGATTCATGCCACTGATTGTCTGCCGCCTGCCTCGACCCTTATTACGAACACTGTTTACGATTCTGCCCAGCCTTCGTTGTCTCTTACGCCAGTTAACGATTTATGCCTGTATGACCTGCCTTGTGAACTAATAAAGCTGCACATGGATCCTAACACCACTGCCTCTTTGTTACAGTTATATGCTTGAACTGTTTTATATCTATAGATTTTATTTTAGTCAAATCATGATGATTTGAGAAGGCTAAATTGATCAAACATATAGGCCTACGCTCACTGTCTGCCGCTGGCCGCTTGGTCGTTACCTTAAATGCGTAACGTTAATTAGGCTATGTGAGTACTGCTCATGTCTGAAAATAATATATGAAAAACAAAATTATTTTACACAAACATTAGGCTATAGCTTATTATTTAGTCATTTTTTTTAATTAATGTAAAAATTCAAATGAATTGTAAAACTGAAAGTATTTTTTTTATTGTGTTCAGCATGGTGGGCCGCATTTGAATCCGTGACGGACCGCGAATCCGTGAGCTTGCCTCTCCCATTTGGCCCAGTACCTCCGGGGATCTGTGATCAGATGCCTGGAAAATTTAAATCCATGCTATGGTAAGTGCACACGCTAAGCTCTGTGCACTTTCTGAAACTCACATAGTGGTAAGTGCGCACGTTGAACATTTTGCGCACTTTCTAAAATCCACAGTAGTGGTAAGTGTGCATGCTGAGCACTTTGCGCACTTTCTAAAATCCACATAAGTGGCAAGTGTGCACGCTAGACTTTGCACACTTTCTGAAATGCTGTACGGTAAGGGTTACGCGTTATAGCTTCACTCTCTTTCTCGGAGTTGGTTAGACCCCGGTACCTTGGGCTCCACCGAACCAGTGTGTCTCCATTTTTGACACACTTGGAAGTATCGCTCCCCTCACCTTTGAGGGTTACTATGAGCATGCTGCTTCCTATCGAGCGCCCGGGTTCGCTCCGTGGGCTGTTCTCGTGGTAATATTAGCAGTGCTCCCCTTCCCAAAGGGTTGCCTATGAGCATGCTATTCTTTCTGAGTTCAGAGTTCTCCTCTCACGTGAGAGTTGAGTTCTCTGTTTTCCCAGAGTACCTGTTACCAGTAGCATCAGGTGAACTAGGCCCTTCCAAATCCGCCTCTCTGATGCACTGAGTTTTTGGCTAGCTTGCGGTACACTTACCTCTGATTCTAACGATCATGCTGGGCGAGCCCCCTCTCTCGTTTTAGAGCTGGGTGTTGCTCCCTCAGCTAAGTAAATTATTGCTAGCTGTTCCAGCATTGGAACATGC